TTTAACTGGATTATTGTTTAGCATTTGACATTGGCTGTTTATAGCTTTGATTTCAATTATAATGTTGTGGTCATGACATTTATATTAATTTTGGAGTTAATATATTGTGATTTTCTAAAGTGACTTAGAATCTTGGATCATATTGTCTCTTGTTAGTTTTAATTCTATTTATTTTTATTTAAGAGTTTAATTAAGTATTGGTTTTTAGTATCTTTAATTTCATTTTACTATTCTGGTTGCAGTTAGTAATTTAAATTTTTAGGAAAATATTTTGAGGCAATTTGAGGTGGCTCGGTTGTTGGACTAAAAGCTTAATTATAATTCTTAATTCATTGTTTTAACTCCCACATCTTTTAGAGTGATGATTGCCTGAATTGTTGATTTGGATGATTGATTTTTATCAGTGTTATTTGTGTGTCTCATTTTCATTTCTTTAATTTTCATTCATTTTAATCATTTTTACATAAAAACAAAAAAAAATTATTTTAATTTCAATTTAATTCAAGGCATTTAATTAGCAATTTTTCAAAATCAAAAAATCCTTTTTTATAGTTTAGGTTATTAGCATTTATTTACTAGGGTTTAATTTTATTTTCGGCTCCTCAAAGTGAATACGACCCGGATTGTGTACTATATTACATTAATTTGGTTAATTTTTGGAGTAACCCCAAAGCGACAATTAAGGGAAGTTAACTTTATAATTATTTATAATAAATAAATATATTTTTTTTTAAAATATCCTTATTACTCAAGTATATTGGTTAGAACTATTATTATTACAAAGAGTTCCTTGAGAAAAAATGAATAAATATGGGAGACAATATGGATTGAGATTTTGTATTTATGACTAAAATAAAAATCAAACAAAATCTTATATTAAGAATCGAAAGTAATATTAAAATTATAAGTGTACTAATCTATGAGCAATACTTAGATCAAATTTCTTATATTCATTATATTAGGCTTTCTAATTACATATAACTATATATCCTATTTTTAAAATATTAACGTTTAATAACATTTAATTACAAATTCACATGAAATTAAAAAAAAAAGACTCATAATCATATGTGATTGAAAATTTGACACAATCAACATAAATATCTTGATCATGGTTTCTGCATTTAATCTATTATCAAATTTGACCATTTTGATTGAATGAGATTTGAGTGAACTACAGTCCGATTACAAGCGATTATACAAAAATAATAATAATAATTACCAATAAATTTTAATAACAAGTAAATTGCTGTTATTTATTATTCTCAAACTTATTATTAGAAGCTGTAACACCTCACATAATTATATCAATATACGCCATAAAATATTTAATTTAAAAGTCCATACATACTTTTAATACTGCAATTAAGTCAAAATTTCAAAACATTTCTAACATAACTTAACAACATAAACTATTAGTCTTATAGTCATGGCAAATAAAAATATAACATAGCATGTGTTTGAGGAGCACAAAAGCCTTCACGGCTCACTCCATTGGTGCCTTCCCTTGATTCCTACTAGATCCTTCGCCTGAAAATTGTTAATATAGGGGATGAGCTCAAACGTCTCAGTAACTACTGAAATTCTAACCTATACAAGCAAATCACATATGATAAACCAAAGATCTGTTTATATGTGTGTATATAAATATATTAAAAATCACGGATTTGAGACATTCAATTCAATTTCATTTTTTTCAACAATATACCAATATCCTTTTTCTAATATATCCAAAAATAATGCAATATGTTGCCTCCCTTATATCACCGTCCACCCTTATACCGCTGACTGGAGCCATAGGCTAACACATAGTCCGATAGGAACTAATCCATTTTACTGAATTATTCCAAGCTCACCGATACTAGAGATATATCCGGCCAAAGATATAGAGCTCAAGCTCGGACTATGGCTCCCCTCCTTTGTGAATAGGGAGGTGTCACATGTCCCACAGCTCCAATGAATTCCCGGCCAAAGGAAAACATGGAAGAAGGGGCCCTGACAAGTGCCATCCACTGTGCACCGAGTGATGGCATACCACGTGGTAATTTCATATCCATGCAATCTCCTTCTATCCTTAGCCCAACAATGCATGTCAGATGCCAATAATGTTACATCATAAATACGTCCTCAAATATTTTAAAGATAAGATAGCAATAAAACTTATATACCATTTAATAACAACTCATGACAATTCCTCAGCCATCAATATATTTAAACATTGATCATAATTAATAGCAATAAATCTTGACAAAATCAAATAACATATCAAAACATTTATTTGAAATCATAATACTACTTTTCAGTATGATATAAAAATTAGTAAATCCACAATATAATCATACACAATTCACATGTACAAGAAAGAATTTTCAGTTACCTGATACTCTTTAGCTTACAAAAATTCACACAAAGATTACTCCAAAATTCTCAAGTCTACAAAATTGCACATAAATATTTATTAATATAAACTCAGAATTACTCCAGAACTACTCTAAAATTCTAAGACTACCCGCAAAATTTCATAAACATATTAACTCTCCCAAATCTAGGCATTTATAATAGAATTATTTTGAAAAATAATTTACATATAAGGCTATTTAAATTTAACAAAAGTATATATATATATATATTTAATTATAAACAAACTATAGCTTTATTTAATTTTACAAAATTCTCAATTTATAATTTTTCAAGCCTTCAAAAATTATTTCAACAATATATCTTTAACTTATTCAATATTTAAACCGATTAAAACCTCAATAATATATTAAATAACTCAAATAAATTATTTAACTCAAATTTAATCGGTAAAAACATATTACAAGTCTAAATAACAAATTTTTCAACTAAAATCTTAGTTTAAAATTCTCAAAGTAATCATTCAACAAAATAAACCGATTAAAATTCCTTAATAATGGATCTTTAAATTTCTACGGTCATATATTGTCAAAACTCCATATTTACTCTATACTCAAACGGTAAAATTTTCTCTAAACATGATAATAATACTAATAATATAAAGCTATAAATATATAGGAAATATTCATAAAGAAAATATGATAACAAGAAGTAGTTTTGTGTACCTAAATGATCTCCAAAACCGTCAGGTACTCTGCAACTCGACTCTCTCTCTCTTTTTTCTCTATGCTTCTCTCTCTCTTCTCTCTTCTTTTGCTCTCTTCCTCTTCCGTCTGCTCCCTCCACTTGAGAATCATCTGGGGTGAATGTATTTAATAGCCCCAGGTTCAATTTTTTCCACTGCCTACGCCTTATCCTATTTATCTTGCAGTCGTCCCTCCCCTTCTTTTTCCTTCTTCGTTAATTAACCCCCCCCCCAAATTTCAACTCACCGTGGAAGGGGGGTTGTTTTTTTTTTTTTTACTCATAAAGTATTATTTTAATAAGATTATAATAAAATATTATATCTTTTTTTTTTTTTTTGCACGTTACAGAAGCTACTTTTTTTTTTTTTTGACCGGAGTTACAGAAGCTACTTTGCTATCATTAGATTGTTGTCATCAAGATCTCTTTATTAATTGTATTTCCTATTTATCTGTCATTTCCTTTCAGATTCCATTACACCAAAACAAGAAGGCACAAAAATTTCACCTCCACTGTTATCAAAAGAAAAATCACTTCCATATCCGCAATTCTACTGTAATGCATGTTCTGCTACTTCGCAGATGCATTCCCCGGCGAAGATGAAGATAATGAAAACAGGTCATGTGACGAGTTTCCTAAAGGAAAATATGTTCCAATATCCTCCACTTTTAACCCTTAAAAATCGTCAGTCAAAGAAAGGTCCGGCATAGTTGGTAGTGGCACATACATGTGGTCGGGGCTAAAATGTTGTGTGTTTTACAAAAAAGTTACCAAATACCAGACGTTCCAAAGATGAATCAGAACTTGGCAAAAACAAAGCCTTAAAAAATACTCCCCCACCAACCTAGCTTCCTCTCTTTAAGAAAAAGGAACTGCTCTGGTCAGTAAACAACCAATCTCTTCGTTTATCATCAGAAAACTGCACTTCAACACAGAGCACATCAACCAATGCTTGCACTCTTGAAGTGCCATATGGCTTTAAAAGATAATGCTTTGTGGAGCACATGAATGTCTGATTTGGCTAAGCTGCATCATTCCAGAGACAGGGAAGAAAGGAAGGGATAACGAACACACTATATTCGCAGACGGAAAGCGGATTACGGAGAACGCAGACCAGAAGCAAAATACAGGCGGAGGATCATGTGATGCAATGCAAATCCCTAAATCTTTTACTGATTGATATGAATTTGATTTCCAATTATCAAGCAAGATGGAGGAGTAACCAAAGTAAGGACAGGGCGATCAAAGGCATACTAAAAGGCGGATTTGTCAAATCGCGCTGCGTGAGAAAAAAGAACCCTAGCCATCGATTAAATACAAGGTATCAGAGAATTATATAAGAAAGTGATAAAAATGAAGGCCTTCCATCAAGCATCCGTTGTCGTCCAGCGGTTAGGATATCTGGCTTTCACCCAGGAGACCCGGGTTCGATTCCCGGCAACGGAAAATAGACTTTTGTAGTAGTCCGTCGTTTTAATTAATTAATTAATTAATTCCGAATGAGCAAGGCCGCTCTCTGATCCTAGTCTACTTTTGTGCCGATTCACCCGAAATTTGGTTATTCTGTGAAGTTCTAATTAGCTTATCCATAATTATGATGCAATAATCACTACACATAGCATAATATTTCATTTAATGATTATTTAACGTTATTTTTAATTATTAATATATCCGGATAATTTCATTTCTGTACAAGTATTTAGTAAATTTGTAATTCTAATTCACGAAATTGGGCAAAAATAGTGAAATACTATCTGATACTTAACATTTAATCACTGTGAAATAATCCTGCAAAAATGGTTTTAAAATATCGTCATAATGTAAGCTGCCAAAGAAGGCTCTTCATCATAACTACTTACTAATAGAAATATAACACACGGTCATAAACGCATAAGAGATGAATGGAAAGTCAAATAACTATGCCATAGTAAAGGTATGTCTGCGTTTCGTCGAATTGCTAACTATATCCCCTCTATCTCATATAGGTTTACATAAAATGTCAGAGAGAGAAAGAGAGAGAGAATTTAAATGGATCATTCCTTCTCTCCCAAATATTGCGAATGCGGGGGCCAGATTCCAACAGTGGAGATACGTCCGTGCAACCAAATTCTTCTCTTTCTATGACAACGTAGCCGGTTTCATGCAGTCCGCCAACTAATTTCTTAAGACCGTAAATTCTTAGTGCTATACAGAATTACAGAATTGTATTTAAAAGAATTACAGTACAATGCCCCTATCCCAGGCAGAGAGTCTCAAAACACAGAGGAGGATGATTCATGCAGCACACGAATGAAAACAGGAAATCAGCCCCTGGGATAGCTATCTTGCTCCTGTCACACAAGTTTCTGTCTTTTGGGTGCATGTTCACTTTCCAATGCCAAGCTCTTTTGTGATGTCTCTTGTCAGGCTGAACTGCAGGGTGTTGTGCCACGGAAATAGCGTACGAGTGACTGGGAGCTTCCTCCGAAGATCCTGCAATAGTCATTCCCGAGCTTTAAATAAATCTCAACACGGGTAAATCAACAGATTTATAGACAAGCAAAGCAGGAAATATGCCTTGCCCTTTTTCAAACCACATCAGTCTCTTCTATAAAAGACCAAGGCGTGTAATAAACTAGTTCAGTAAATTATCCAAGCGAAAAAAGTAAAAACATATTGTCAGATTGAGCAATTTGAAGCATATATGCCCCCCCCCCAGCAATTTCAAGTGTGAATGTGGCGTCATTTAACATCCGTTTAAAGGGTATAATTGACAAAGATAAAGAGGGCAGGGGCAAATCCACCCATGCGATCCAGTAAGAACTAAGAACGCGGGTTCACAAACCCTGCATAAATGTGCTATTCCTAAGTTCAGTTCAAATTTCACAAATGACCAGGAGCTCCCCCCCCCGGGGGGGTGATCATCAGAGCACTGTGCGGCTGACACTAATAGAGAGATGCATGACGCGAATTAGATAACTTTAACAGGAGTCAAAGTATCATAAAGCAATTCCATAGACACTCCATCTAAAACTTGGAGGGAAGATTTTTTTCCCCCAAAAAAAAAAAACAGAAAGATCCTTTATAATATAAAGAGTACCTTAAAAGTGGAATCGGGCAAGTTTAAATACGACGCCTGTAAAGCAACAACCGCAAACCATTAGTATATCATACATATTTAATTTAAAAAACCATGCCACAAGATGGAAAATTCAGAACCTCGAGAGAAGCCAGGTACTCTGTTTCATGGTGACTAATAATGCTTGATATGGCAAGAGCACAATCTTCCGGGGCCTGAATATAGAACCAAATATCGAGCACAGAAGTGCCAATCAAATGATTATGCAAGAAGAAAAAAAATCACATGCAGGAATACGGCTCATCCATGACAAATAAATCCCAGTTGAAGTACCTGAGACGTCAACAATTAGCCAAGGAAAGTAATGAAAGTAATTTAGCAACAGGGACAATTAAGTTAAATGCCCGTGGAAAACAAGTATCTGTGAGGATTACTTAACAACCATCATCATGTCATTCGCTACACAACTTTCCAGTGAATATTTGAAGCTCATTTTTTCCATATGTATATTAGGTTTAATGTATATCCTGTCACAGAAATCAAATTATTAATGAGATACTTGATAAGAAGTTCTCTTTAGTCTTTACAGGATAATTTTGAGATTGCACTCGATGCTTTTTATCAAAGAAGCAAGGAAACTGACAGCAGAAAGGCAGAGCTAATCAGTGATAACATGGAAATGAAAGTTGTAAGAAACTATGTGCAAAGAAATGCATGCCAAATGACGCGAAATTAGGAAACTATTTATGTTTCAGTAATTTATTTTTCTGACTTCATTTTATTTCCTATTAGGCTTTCTTAGGTTGTTTCCTATTTTATGCTTTATTTTACTAGAAATATAAGTTACGGTTTATTTATATTTTTAGGTTTAAGTTATTATTTTAATTATTGTGTTTAGAGATCTACAAATGGCCCTAAAGTTATTATCGACCTTTTGATAAATAACTACTGAGACTAAATATTGCTGCCAGTTGTCTACCCGTGTCTCTCTGTCCGCCCCTCCGTTGTCTTCTCACTCTTTCTTTTTTCTTTTGTTTTACATTAACTAATTTATCCCCTTATATCTACACCTGAGAGAAAATGAAAGGTGAAAAATATGCTGATTTGTAGTAACCTGAAAAAGCGTTGAATCTTTGCACTCATGTTTTGCATCTAACTGCACATTTCCTTCTTCAAAATAATGGGCACCCACCTGAAAACACGTCAATATAATTATGTTGTTTGTATCATCCATTCAAATTTATTCATCAAAAAGATATCCCATATTACCTGCATTTTTCCCTGTACTTCAACTATCTGTAGATAATCTTTGAACAGAATATTCCATACTGAACGCCAACTACCATTGCTAAAAAGGGCCAAAAAGAGAGATGAAATAATAAAAATAAACTTGACGTCAGCAGATGCATCAAAATCTAGTTGTTTAAATGGTACGGTTGAAATGGAAGGAAAGCACAGGAGTTTCATTTGACTAATTGCACACACCAGAAATTCTGGGGACTATGCTTAGCAGCAGAGATCACCACAACAAGCTCAAAATCAGAACCTGGGCCCTCTACATCTTTTCCATTTACACAGTAGACAGAGCAGACCCCTTTCGGATAAGCTTCACCCACATATTTAAGAATTTCAGCATCCAGGGCACATCTGCAATAAAGACATACTTTGTCATGTAAAGACTTGCAGAAAAAATTTCATTGGTCATTATACTGTACTAGACGATATTTCACACTTTCAAGCAGGTAAAAGACAGAACAAAAATTTACTGAAATGACACAAAAATAACAAGGTTGTTCAAAAATATACAAATCAGTCAGAGTATACTGTCCAGTGATATTGTATCAAATCCTTTAAAGCTGGCTTTAGTTGAGGAAATTATAAAAGCAGACAAAATTTCAAGCATAAAATTAAAAGAGTGCAGGGCATACCGGAATTCTTCAACGTATGAAGATGGAAGTTCTGCATCAGTTGCAGGTCTCACCTCTGTACAAACCTGAACATTTTAGCACATTATAATAACACAACAGGTGACAGAGTTATACAAATTAGAACACGCAGTTGGGAAAGGAAATGGACCAAAGTAGAACTGCAAATCTACTCCAGTATATAAGTAGAATAGAATAGAACAGGATTGATTGAGCTATAAATAACCTAGTTGCAGTACCACTTTTTCATAATTTGAAACATCCCCCAAACTTCAAATGCAATTTCAAGAAAATGTAAATTATTGGCAGAAATGTTACAATAAGCAGACAGTAGAGTACATTTGACTCATTGTACTGAAGATAATAGATGAAGCAACAGATCAAAATTAAGCTGTGATATAGTTTCCGTCACCTTTCTTAGATTGCAAATTAAAACAAAATGAATGAAAGGAAAAAGTAGTGATTATGAGCAGCAGCAGCAGCATTATATTTTTAGTTTGTTTTCACCATTCCTCAAGGGGGGAAAGAGGGAAAAATCAGTAGAACCATAGCATATTCCAATCTTTCATCGGACTATAATGTGTTTGGTAAACTCAATATTAACGATTTCAATGCCCCTTACTTCTTTTTTTTTTTGGGGGGGGGGGGGGTGTCTTACTTGTTTAACATGGTCGACTATGGCAACTTGAGTAGTCCTCGGATCAAGATAGGCATTCTCTTCAAGCTCACCAAACGTAGTAACTAGCACCTGCATGCGCATGATAAATTAGGGAGCCAGGAGAAATTTAAAAAAAAAAATAATTAATGCAGCCGGATGCACATAATCCAGTAAATTTGGGGTATTTGTACTCTTTCCAGATATCACAAGGATTTTCAGAAAATAATCCTGAAGATGTACGCAAAACGATTCGGCAAATAATCGGTTAACCCCATGCACGGCATTATGATTACCATTCTCTATGTGAAGTAATGATATGATCCAGTTTTTCATTCAAAAAAAAAAAATCTGTTAACGGAGGGGGCAAAGAAATAAAAAATACAGCGCCCTACCAGCCTAAATTATCATATCCAAAATCCAAATTCGATCTAATGATTTTTTCCCTAAAAAGAAACAGCGACGTTTTGAATAAAAAACATATAAAACCCTAAGAAAATGACGATGCTCGTGTTTGGAGAATTTCATCGATACATACGTCTCCGCTCCGATCCGGCATTTCAAGGGAAATCATGTGAGATTTATTGTACAAGGAAAATGCCTCTAATGCGGCCTCATGGTACACATCATCGTCGTTCAGAATCGATTTCACATCTGCAGGGACAATTTTCTAATCCGTATAAATTTAAAGCGGAAGTAAATGCGAATTATAAATTCTAGATATCGAACTACACAGATAAACCAGATGCATGAAAAGCTAATAGAGCAATCACACTTTGGCCACGTACTGGATTTCTCCGGAGGGGAGTTGAGGAGGAACCATTTGGCAATTTCGATCTTCTGCTTGTCGCTTAGCTCTGCTTCTTCTTCTTCTTCTGCCATATCTCTGCGACTCCGGCGACAAGATTCCGATATGCAAGTTCAGTGTGGGGACAGCGAAGGAAATGAGCAACCACCAAGGCCGCGCGGGGATCGAGATGCTTGCTGGAAAACCAGGACCATCCACTGGGTAGGGTCCTGAATCCGAACGGACAAGATACGCACAGTTGCTCAGGTGGACCCAGCGGATAATAATATTCTGCTTCGTCGTGTAGCGTGATCTGCAAGGGCCCGTTCGGTAAGGGGCGGAAATGGAAGGCAAGGGAAAATTTTCGGCCGCGGACGCTTTGAGATGGAATACCTAAAATACCCATGTAAATTACTCCTCCTGTCCTTATATAAGACCCATTTAACTAATTTGATTAATTAAGAGTTAGGTAAGTTAGTTAATTATAGAAAAGTGACACATTTTCCTAAAACACCATAATCATCTTTCTTAATACCCCACCTCCCTCTCTTCTACTTGATTATGGTTAAAAGAATATCCATAGGGGTAATTTAGAGAAAATTAATAAATATGAGAAATGGTCTTATATTTAGAACCAAACCAACTTAAGAATTGGGTCCTATATTAAGAACCGGAGGAGTATTAAGTATATTTATATGTTAATTATCATTACTAATGAAAGAGATTATTTTATTTTTTTTTAGATAATAAAATATGATAAAAAAATTTAAATTATCAGTGTTATCAAAATAAATAACAGTACATTTAAATTTCTCCGCCTTCATGTGCAAGTTTTTTCACTTATAACTATAAATTTTCCTCATGTAATACACAAACTTGAATATTTGATTAGATTTTAAATTCTAATAAATTATATTATCTAAATGAAATTTAGAAATTCCAGATTTAGAGAAATATATGAAATTTTAAATTTATTTATTTCTCCATCTGAGTCCTCATTAACATACTATTTAATTATGATGCTCTCAAATTGATTTGATCTATTCAAATATCAATCAAGATATTATTCAAATTCAAAATTAATTATTATTTTTTTATTGAGCCTCCAATTAAAATCTCATTTCATAATGATACTTCTCATTTAATTTAATATACCTAAATTTCAATCAGAATATTATTTAAATCTCGTTAATTAAAAATATTCAAATTCTAAAATATTATACCTGACTTGTTTTTAAATTAATCGAGCATAATAAATTTTCAAGAATATAACTAGTTGATAGTTAATTTCTTTTGCCAATACATTTTTCTTTCAATTTTTCCGAGAACTGAAAAAAGGATCGAAGATGATAAATGAAATATTTAGATGAGAATGAAACTACAATTTTAAAAGTGATTTTATGAAATTTATATATGTAAACAAATGCTTTTGGCACCTTCTAAACACCCCGGAAATCCGCCATTAACAAAACTTTTATCAACCGTTTCGCCAAAAAAAAAAAAGATTAAATTCGTGGAGAGCAGTGGAGTCACGAGTAAGGAAGGGATGGAGATAGGATAAAATGCGTGGATTGGTTTTAATCGAAATTCAACACGGAGCAGCGAAGCAAATCGTTCTGGTGTTGAGGCATTTTTGACATTTTACAAATTTTTCCAACGGAAGCTCACCATCTCCGTGGAAATAGGTGGGACAGAAGCCTCCCTTGCATGATGAAAATGCTTCCCAACAAATTTCTCTTCAACCTACTACCCTTGTCGTGCCAAGAGAATCAGCAGATTCCATATACCAAACGGGACCTCAAGGACCTTGCGTCACTTCATAATTTTGGTCGACAATCACGGGGACTTTTGTCTGTTGTCTTCAGTCTTCACCGCTAAAACGCTTTGATTGGGAGGAATCTAACGGCGAGTATAAGCCCAGATCTAGCATTGGCCCAAAAAAGTTTTTACTTTTTAATCGGGCACTTGGAGGATTTCATGTAACAGCACTAGTTTTAAGTTTAAAATGAGTTAAACATACTCTGAATTAAAAAATATATATATTAAAATATATGATATCTCTAATTCAAATCGATCCCGATAAAACTATAATTCAAAATTCACTGATTCAATACCAAAAATGCATTACAAATTTGCAATTCATAGGTGCAGATCATCAAAACCACACACATCACCAGATTCCGCTCCGCGCGCATTCGCAAGACTGCGTTTGATTACACCGTTGGCTGCCTCAAATCCTACAACGCCCGAGCGAGCTTGATGTCCGACAGTTTCTCCATCGCGGCTTGTCAAGCGGTCCGAGCAAGTCACTCTTGTAAAACCAAATCAGGGTAAGATTAACTTGTGTTTAATATAATAACTAATTTATATTTTTATTTAATTTTAAATATAACATTTTACTTTACTTTATCTTTTATATTTATCTAATTTTTTTTCTAAAATAATCCTATAGTTAAAAATCTCATCAAATAATAATTATAATTAATTAATACACATAATTAGCATAAAAATTTAACTAATTTTGTTAATCTATTTAGTTAATTAGTTCTTATATTAAAAACTAAAAGTAGTATTATTCCAGTAAGACCAAAGAATAATAAATACAACTCCATAAAGTCACGAGGGAAAAAGAAGGTCGAGCCATCCAACCATTTATTTGAAAAGATAGCTATCAACTAATTAAACGATTCACTCTCGTGTCAATTATCAGGGCCGAGGAAGGAGGAAATATTCAAACGTCCAATAGCTGCTGCTCGGCAAAACCCCTTAACCCCAATTCTAGACTAAACTGATCTGTCACATCTAACTGATTGATCAAATAGGACGTCATCAGTCCCAAACCACAATAGGTCACAGGTGCTGGCTTTCGCAGAGGGGACACATGGAACGATCCCACAGCACAAGATTGGTATTTAGGTGAGAGATCATTCGTAATTACATTGTGTTTACCCTATCCCTACTCCTCTTTCTTTTTTTTTTTAATTAATTTAATCAAGAAACCCACACACAGGGGCACAAGCAGAGACCATCTTTAGCAATAATTCCAATGGCGCCAGACGTTTGCTTCCAAAAATTGCTTCCATGCCCTTAACGGGGTTATATCTGTACAGCTGGCAGAACTCCTGGTTCCACGATTCATAAACAAGCCTCTCGCAGCAAAGGACATCAGCTCCATCCGATCCATATAACCACGCACCCTGTATGAGAAGCCCGTTCTCGAATTGTGTTTATCATGAGAGTACTGAAGTTTTGTAACACTTTCATTTGGGAGAGCAAGAGTTTCTTGTCTCTGCTTGGAATCCTCATGTACTGACATCGAGCTTCCCATTCCAAATAATTCCCAATCAACCTGCTGAAAAATCCCAGATGCTCGCTCCGCGGTATGGTAGAGCTGGTTTTTAACAGCATTTCTTGTTCAATAGCCAGATTGGTGACTTGGACTTTCAATTCATGTAAACGGTTGCCAATCCTTGTTGCTACTGCATCATATAGTGTT